CCTTCAGCAGAGAGTAAAAGAATATAAATATGGGCATATTTGGTGTGGAAGAGTCTTCTCCATGGTTTTTACCATGAATGCTTTCTTAATTGCTAGCATAAAAAGGTTTCCCCCACTGGAGAGACAAAGAAAATGTTTTTTCAGGGGAAGAAGCTTTTGAAGACATGGTAGGAAATATTTCCGTACAGGGTGATTATTTTTCTGCTTACACTTTGCATTCTATCTTTCATGGAAATCTCCTCCGAAAAAAAATGAACATAAAATAAATCAGATACCCTTGTCTGTTTCCCACCCCCACCTTTTTATCTTTTTTTAGCAGGAGTGGTCGAAGATCCCTGCATGGGAGCAGATTGTCCCAACAGAACTTGTGATGTGGACAATGATGGAGAACTCTGCGGTTGCATTGAACCTCCTGCCTATGGAAACAGTGAGTGCCCTACAAGCAGATCCTGATGAGAAATGTCCTATGAGGTTTCTGTAGTAATCCTCTTCTTCTCTCACAGGCACACATGATATTCTAGATGCTGAGGTGACCTGCAAAGCTGCCCTAATGGAGGTGTCCATCTCAAAGTGCAAGCTGTTCCAACTGGGCTTTGAAAGGGAAGGTGTCCGCATCAATGACCGCCGTTGTCCTGGCATTGAAGGCGAAGATTTCATCTCGTTCCAGATCAACAACACCAAGGGCAATTGTGGAAACATTGTGCAGGTCAGAATGATTGAGAAACTATGGGTTTATTTCCCCCTTGTGGCACTTAAGATTTTTATCAAAGCTTCTGAATTAGCTTCATCTTGCAGTGGAAGTAGTTTTCATTGCTGTCAGGACATCATCATAAACATTTAATTTTTGCAATGTTCCCTCTATGATGAAATGAGTAATGTGAATAAAAACTTACAATGCCAAAAAACCATCATTGGCAAATTTGGGACTTTGCCATTAGCCCTTTATTTTTTGGCCATGGATGTCTACATGTCTGGCTTCCCTTTCTTCTTAGCGCATAGAAGACATAAAATAATTACATAGTTCTCTTTGGATTAGAGATCTTTTCTTAGCTAGTCATCTCAATTCCATTGGATTAGATTAAGAAATGAAGTTTGCAGCATAAATTTGAGGCTATAAGCAAGGAGAATCCAGGATCTAAGGAAATAACTATATCATTAGGCAGGTTTTTTTCCTAAACATGTGCATTTTTTCTCCTCTTCACATTGTAGTCTAACAGCACCCACATTATGTATAAAAACACAGTCTGGATTGAAAGTGCAAACAACACTGGAAATATCATTACTCGAGACAGGACCATCAATGTTGAATTTTCTTGTGCATATGAGCTTGACATTAAAATTTCTTTGGATTCTGTTGTGAGACCAATGCTCAGGTAAGAAAAAGTGTTGATTCTTTGGGCATTCTGAGGAAATGAAGAATTTGATGAAGGGATTCCATTATCTCATGGATTTTATTTGAAAGTGTGCAACTGGCTGAGATTCTGGGAATTGAAGTCCACAGTTCTGACAAAATGCAAACACCAGTTTATAATTGCTGTAGCCCCTGCTTTATTTATTTCCTTGTAGAATGAAGATCTTTTATTTTGAGTTTGATCCAGGTCTTTAAAAATATTTCCCTTCCTCTCAATTATAGCAATAGCATTTGATTTTGTCTGTTTTCTTCTTTAACAAAATGGTGAGATCCAAAATAAATTACCTCCAAGCATTAGAGTGTTGTAATTTTTGGAAATATTGTAATTGGATGCTAATTTATATAGTTAATATTTTATTAAGTTTGGTAATTGTGAACTCTGGTAATAGGATGTAAATGAAGTAAAACGATGGAATTAAATTAAATGAATCAATAAATAATAACACAAAGTTATTAGTTTTAAATTCTTCAACAGCAGATTTGTCATCTTTTTGTTTTGGTATAACGGTTATTTTTTCTCTACCTTGTTCTCTCTTTGTAGTGTCATTAATCTGACTGTACCTACAAAGGAAGGCAGTTTCACTACCAAAATGGCCCTATATAAAAATTCATCCTATAAGCATCCCTACAGGCAAGGAGAAGTTGTGCTAACCACACGGGATGTATTGTACGTTGGTGTCTTTGTGATGGGGGCAGATTCCACTCACCTCATCCTCACACTGAACAAATGTTATGCAACACCATCACGAGACAGCAATGACAAGCTCAGATACTTCATCATTGAAGAAGGGTGAGCCATTCTTTTTCAGTGCCTAGTGTTCGAAATTCCAGAAGAAAAGCTTGTCAGTTCTTGGGTGTTCTGCTGGAACTAATCAGTGCATTCCTTTTTCTTGCAGTTGTCAGAATATCAAGGATAATACAATTGGAATTGAGGAGAATGGGGTCTCCCTCACCTGCCGTTTCCACGTTACTGTTTTCAAATTCATTGGAGATTATGATGAGGTTCATTTGCACTGTGCAGTCTCGCTTTGTGATTCAGAAAGATACTCATGTAAAATAGTAAGTGATGCAAACCTCAGATGCAGTTCATGTCAATGTGCTATTTAAGGCTGACCTCAAAAAATGGACATTGTTTCAGAGTTGATCAAAAACTTGGTTTTTGAAGGACAGTATAATCTAAAATGCATGTGCTTCAGATACAACTTTAATGATAGGGATCTGTAACTTCTGCTTTGTAGCTCGGTTAAATATTTGCACCCTGGTGCATTTTAAGACAGGGGAAAATTGATACTTTTAACCTTGTATATGACTAAGGTACCTATTTTATCCCTTGTATATTTGGCTCTGTGGTCCCTGGTTCTGTTTATTCTTAAAAATTGCTATTGACAGATCATGCAAAGTACAATATATGCTTTCAAAACAACAGAAGTTGTGTACCAAAGAAACATTTCTATCTCTTTTTTTTTGGCTCAATCAGAATTGTCCACAGAATACCCGGAGGGCCAATGATTATTCCAAAGGTCTCAATGAGCAAATCATTTCTGTGGGACCAATCAGAAGAAAACGTAAGTGTGATGTTTCTCCAAGTTTTCATTCAGAAATCTGGATCGATTTTACTGCATGGATGCATGATTAAAACAGATTTGGTTTTTTTTACTTTGACTGGTGGCTTTTAGGCCTAGACTGGTGTGAAGACAATGGAGGCTGTGAACAGATATGCACAAGCCAGGTGGATGGGCCACTCTGTAGCTGTGTAACTGGAACCTTGCAAAAAGATGGCAAGAGCTGTCGAGGTGAATGAACCCTTTTTCAAGGACTGATAGAAATTTCCTTAGGCATTTATATATAGACGACAGAAACGACACGTTTCTGACTGAAGTTTATATTATTTTTAAAACATGCAGCTTGAATGTTCATTGTCTCTTCTACTTTTCTTTGCAGCAACCAGCTCTTCAACTGAGGCTCAAGCCAGGCTGCTTCTGCTCCTTGTCAGCCAGTTGTTCTTATGGTGTAATCTTTCTCAGTCCAGCCCAGCCACATAGTTTATCAAAGTACTGGAATTTGTTATAACCTCCTAGGTCCCTATAAACATATCTAACTCTGAACCTGAAATCCACATGACTGTTCAACACCATTTGTAATGACAGATTTTTGTCTGTTATAGCACTGACGTTATTGGCCTCTTTAAATGGCATTAACAATGTTGTAAAAATGTTAACAGGGCATCACATTCTTCTAAAGTATCAGGAGATCTGCAAGTTGAATATCCAATAGTTGATTGTATGTCTTTCTCTTCTGAGAGTCCACTTTTCTATTCATATTTACAGAAATCTCTGTATAATCTGAATTATTAAATTTTGCAGGAAACATCTGGGCAGCTTGGCTACTTTCTGAACTTGGGATGGGGAGGGAAAGTAAGAGGCAAGAGTAACTCTTGGGTGTCCTGGATTTGACATCCTTAAGTTTGCTTCTTTAAGCCATTCATTGCTGAGTTTAAATCACCCTAGAGCTGTTTCTTTTATTCAGATTTTGATGCATTCTGCCCATCCAAGTTGATAACCAGCACTCTCTTCAGAAGAGTAAAAAAATTGAGATGAAGAGAACTTTTGATGTGCCCTGAAATGCTACAATTACATTATAGCCATTCTTTGGGGGGGGGGGGGGTTTGGTATGAACAATGTTACTGTTTGAATTTATCTTCTTTCTTTTAGATGTTTGCTGGAGTAATTTTAAAATTAAACACGGGGAACAAGATCTTGTTTCTTGGCAGCCTTCTGTTTCGTGAAGTTTGTTTATATTTGGGACTTGGGGAAAACACCTGTAGTACAGCTAGACATGTTTTTTTTCCCTTGACATGTTCAAAAAACAAAAAAAATGAATATTATCTGCTGTAAAGATTTGGAAACACCATAAGCTTGTTGATTGGGGTTTAATAAACATCCTTTGCTTCCCAGGAGAAGAAAAAAATGGGTTGCTTTTTGGTGGGTTTCTGGAAGGGATCAGGGAAGATCTCGCCGAGTCCTATCAATACCAAAGGCAATACAATGAAAGATAAAATTTAAGAATTTTGTATCACCAAAAAAGGCCAAAAATATTGGAGGCAATGGAAAGGCCTCCCTTTTTTCTCTTCATTTTCTCCTCACCTCCATGGAGCCCAAGACGGCTCCCTCTCCTCCCCTTTCCCTCAGAGAGCATCCCAACCCACCGAATGAAGGAACCAGTTTACGGGGGAAGTTTCTATGACGGGGAGGGGGGGGTACCTATCCCGCCCCACCGCCCACCGGGATCCGCCTGGGAAAAGGCGCCCCTAACCCTCCCGCTCTTTTTCTGAGGTAAATAACTCCGCCGCGCCGCTGCTGTGGTAAAAGTAACAGCCAACGACAACGCCCGTCGCGGATGGGCATTTCTGATAGGCTCGCCTCACGCCGACGTCCGCGCAGTCCACTCCAAGGCGGGCGTCGCGCGACTCTCGACCGTCGGGTGGCTCGTAACCCTCGCAGCCAATCCCTGCGTCTTTGGCCGCCGAAACTCCGCCTCTCCCGCCCGGTGATTGGCGCAGGGGCCTTCCCCATATCACCAGAGGCCAGCCTGGACCTCAGGGCTTTGGAGGAGCGAGCGCGTAGCAGTGTCCAGGTAGCTGCGGAGGATGGTGGCGGAGCGGCGGGATCCAGGTGGGGAGAAGCGCGGAGGAGCGTTCCGAGTCTGTCTGTCTGTCTGTGTGTGTGTGTGTGTGTGTGTGTGTGTGTCGGGGGGTATTGTCTCGTGCCCATCTTTCTCACCTTCAGCCCTTCGGACGCCTGGACTTCATTTCCCACAATCCCCCAGCCTGGGCGGCGATGGCAGAGGCTGTTGGGAAATGGGGTCTCCCTAACCTCGAGCCACCCAGGCTGAGGGAAAGGCGGTTGAAGGCGACAACGGTTTTAAAAACGTAAGCTTAATTTTGCCTCATTGCTACATTTTCCCACCAACCCGCCTTGAATAACTCGTGGCCAAACAAGATAAGAATGACAATTGCTCTGCATTTTAAAGCCTCTCTTCTTAAAAGGTAAAGGTTCCCCTCGCACATATGTGCTAGTTGTTCCTGACTCTAGGAGGCGGTGCTCATCTGCGTTTCAAAGCCGAAGAGCCAGCGCTGTCCAAAGACGTCTCCGTGGTCATGTGGCCGACATGACTAAATGCTGAAGGCGCATGGAACACTGTTACCTTCCCACCAAAGGTGGTCCCTATTTTTCTACTTGCATTTTCTACGTGCTTTCGAACTGCTAGGTTGGCAGAAGCTGGGACAAGTAATGGGAGCTCACTCCGTTTCGCGGCGCTGGGGATTCGAACTGCCGAGCTTTCTGATTGACAAGCTCAGCATCTTAGCAAGGTCTTTAAAGGCCAAAGACCCTTCTTGGTGTTGGGTTTTCCTATTTCAGCTTTTTGACATCTTCTCTGAAACCTGGAGACAGCTTGTGTAACAGAATGACAAGAGTGTGGAAGGGACATTTGGAGGTCTTTTAGTCCAACCCCTTGCTCAGGCAGGAAACCCGATGCCATTTCAAACAAATGGTTGTTCAATCTCTTCTTGAAAGTTTCCAGGGAGGGAGGGAGGGAGGGAGGAAGGAAGGAAGGAAGGAAGGAAGGGGAAAAAAACAGAGTGAAAGGGTTGGAAGGCATCTTGGACGTCTTCTAGTCCAACCCCCTGCTCAGGCAGGAAATCTTATGTCATTTCAGACAAGTGGTTGTCCAATCTCTTCTTTAAAAACTTCTAGTATTTGAGCACCCACAACTTCTGGAGACTTTCAAAGGGGGTTCCCCCCCCCTCCCCAGGATTATTTTACATTGTTAATATTTCTTGGTGGCCTCCTTTCCAGCGGGGCTTGTTCTCTTTTTAAGCAAAGGTAAGCCTGGGCAATTCCAGAAGTTCAGCGTTCAGCGCTTGGGGTTCTCCAGCCCATTTTGAAAAAGCATTTACCTAAATCATCTCGTAAGGCTTACTTTAGTTTAGACCGATTTTGAGATGTGAGGAGATATTGGTTGGTTGGAAGCATTCAAATGGAGAAGTTGGTTGACCATGAAGAGGGATCCGAATCTTATGGAGGTGCAAGTAAACTTTCTCTTTTAAGGTCTTTTTAAAGATAGGTGGACTTCAATTCTCAGAATTCCCCTGCTGATTTAGGAATTCTGGGAGTTGAAACCCTCACATCTTAAAAGTTGGCAAGCACTGCTTTAAATGCAATAATCCCCTTTTACCATCCATAATAGGTTTATGAGTTCCTAGAACAGCCCCCCACCCCACCCCAGTATTGTTGGTTGAGAAACAATGAGACGTTGATTAAGGCCAATTAATCTTTTGATGTCTCTGTAGAGCTCCATGCCAGCTCCTAATCTTGAGGGTAACATGGATACTTATGAGATAGTGTTACCCAGGATTGGGTGATCAATCACCAGCAACAGCAGTCTTGGGTTATCTTTTATCAGTGTTATTCACAGTACTATTAAAATAATATTTATTAAATTGTTTTCATGTCTTCAATGTTTGGGGATTGACGGATAATCAGAAAGTTCCTGAAGAGTTTGATGAGGTGAAGAGTTGTGGTGTGTGAGGGGGGGGGGGTACACCCCTGACTTAGAACTTCATTTTTAAACAAACTTGGACTATTTAGATCCAGGAAGTGCAATCTCATACTCAGAGGTTTTTGTCAAGATGTGCATGCCATCATAAATTAATTATTGCTTAATTATTGCAATAGATTAAGAAGTTTTAAGAAATTATTCAATAGATTAAGAAGTTTTCCTCTCTCCTCTGACACACCCTCTCTAGAAATCTGTAAGAGTGGAGAAACTACATTGGCCACATTCTCTCTCTCTCCCTCTCATTTTTTCCCCCTTTTCCGCACTTGAGAAGTTTTATTGTTTATAGAGCTGTAGTTTTTAGAAACATGCAAGTAGAAAGAAGTGCTACAACTCTCTCTTCTGTTGTAAGTTGATTTTCCATTGATTTGAAAGAGGCAGCTGTTGGCATGGTGAGCGGTGACTTAGATATGTTAGTGTTGATGGGAAAGTCCCTTTTCTCTCTTCCATCCTTAAAGCATGGAGAAGCAGGGTAAAGATTTACTAATAGGAGACCCAGGCCGCCCCGTTTTCTCTCTCACACCTTGCGCTGCTCAGTTCCTTTGCATTAAAGCTTTCTTTTCAGCTGTACAAATGAGATTGGAAAACTGCAGTCAAAATGATACACTTTACTTTTAGAGTTTGGACCATCCCCGAAGTGACTGGAAACTGAGGAGGCTCTGAAAACGTTGATTGATGTCCCTTTCTGAACACTGCTAAGAAAGAGAAGTGCATTCTCCAGATTATTCATACAGGTAAACTTCTTCATATGGCCCCTTTGAAAATTAGTTGCCCACTTCTCTGTTAGATTATTGAAAGATAGATTAGTTTAACAAGAGTTGGAAGGGTTCTTGAAGAGCTTCTAGTCCAACCCCCTGCTTAGGCAGGAAACCCTACACCACTTCAGACAAATGGATATCCAACATCTTCTTAAAAACTTCCAGAGTTGGAGCATTCACAACAGCTGTTCCACTGATTAATTGTTCTCACTGTCAGGAAATTTCTCTTTAGTTCTAAGTTGCTTCTCTCATTGATTCGTTTCCACCCATTGCTTCTTGTCTCCTACCTTCAGGTGCTTCGGAGAATAGCTTAACTCCCTCTTTTTTTGGCAGCCTCTGAGATATCGAATACTGCTATCATGTGTTAATATGATAACCTTTTGTATTTCTCTGTGTTTGACATAACACTCTTTCCTTCCTGGCACTCCTGCAGGTGCAGCAATGGATCTTGTCCTGGATTATGCAGATAGTTCTATTTTGACACCTTACGTTTATCCAGCAACCTGGCCAGAGGACAATGCTTTCCGACAGATTATCAGCCTCTTTGTTATAACAAACCTGGGGGCAATCGTCCTATATCTTCTGTTTGCCACTCTCAGCTACTATCTGCTTTTTGATCACAAGTTAATGAAGCACCCCCAGTTTTTAGAGGTGAGTGGGGTACAGCAACATAGCAAAGCTTCTGTTTCCTTTAACGCCATTCATTTACTCACGAGAGGTCCTATCAAAAGAAGAACCGGAACCCTACCGTGTTGTGAATTGTGCCGTGCTTAACCCTCTTCTTAAATTTGTGAATGGAAACGTTAGTGCCATAAAGCAGAATGAACACCTCATGAAATAGGACAGTGGTTCCCAAACTTGGCAACTTTTAAGACTTGTGGACTTCAATTCCCAGAATTCTCCAGCCAGCAGAGCTGGCTGGAGAATTCTAGGAATTGAAGTCCACAAGTCTTAAAGTTGCCAAGTTTGGGAACCACTGAAATAGGAGATGGGGTGGTTTCTCCATATATCTCTAGGGTACTTTTGGAGATTGGGCACATTTCATCTTTTCTTTCCTGATTTAGTTACCCTCATTTTATTGAGGAGCTCTTTTGGCTGGAATTTTGACTGCCCCCCCCCTCCTCCCATTTTGGTCTATTGGAGAGGAGGAGGAGGATTCATACAGGCATAGAGTTGTCAGGTAATGTAGCATAGTTAACAATAAAGCAGAACTTTGTTGCAGATTCGTCCAATAGCTTTAGCTTTCTCAGACGTTTGGTGGGGAATGTGAGGTCTACACCAGGGATTTCCAACCTTGGAACTATTCCCCAGACAGATAGAGCCAAGGTGGCACAGTGGTTAGGGTGCAGTACTGCAGGCCACTTCAGCTGACTGCTATCTGAAGTTCAGCGGTTCTAATCTCACCGGTTCAGGGTTGACTCAGCCTTCCATCCTTCCGAGGTGGGTGAAATGAGGACCCAGA